TGGATTTGGTGATGGAGTCTGAGAATTTCACCTAAACAACTCAGTAATTATAAAATCGGTAATTATGGTGCCTCTTTTTATTTTCACCATTTCAAACAAAGACACCACATGTGTTGTGATAAAAATCTTTCCCTCAGTTTTTGCAATTGAAACACTTATATTGGTAAGTGGCTAATTGATTTGCTGCATGTGGTTAATAAATTCTAAATAAGACACAAATAACGGGGAAACGCAGGGAGGTCAGAGGCCGGACATTAAGGCGTACAGACATGGAGGGTCATTTACACAATGGCCACAGACATACGAGGACTGGGCAGGGTTCGCATGAAACACAGCTAAGGCATCACATATTCCTAATGTTTGTGCAGGTATGACTAAACAAATCACTATAGTAAAACTTTCATAGATTCATTTTAATTTTAAAATACACAGTGTTGAAGAAGGTTTGCTGAATATTCTTTCATAACACTTGCAATTGCATCATTCCCTCAGTACTGCATGGTAGCACGTGTCCTAGTTTAATCCCCATTGAATACTGTTGACAGGAAACACAAATTCTCCAAATTCCCTCCTGCCTCAGTGCAACACAGATGTTTGCCAACCTTAATTATAGCATAATTAACCCTATTAGTAATAAATAAATAAGATGATAAATTAAGGTTAAATAAAATAGAATGCAGTGGTTTTGGGATGAGGTAAAATAACAGTAGCTGCAAGCACTGGATTTTTTTCATTTAAGAGACACATATTTGTACATGTTTTCTCATTATATTTGGGCAAAATTAGTTACTTTTTTCTTACTTAACATCTTGTAACTGGTGATACTTCCTACTGCTTATGAAGCAGTAGTGTTCAATTAGTAGAATATAGCATAACACAGCACAATGTGCTATTATATGTGTATCACCAATATTAGTGCTGCATGTTTGATGTGATCGGCCCCAAAATTTAGGCAGACTGTTTCCAGATTCACTGAAGTACTGAAACACTGGGTTTTGCCAGCTTGGATCTGTAGCAATTCTGGAATTTTGAGGTCAATAACTCCTGAATTAACTCATCAATTTACTTGAACCTTTGCAATCTGTGTCTTTATTGCTGCTGTGGAACACATCTGTCATGTTACAAAGCATGGGCACAATCAGCCAGTGAGATTCCCCCCCACATGCTTAGTGACTGACCCATCATGATATATGAAGCATACTGGCGAGCAGACAGACCTCTCAACAAATGTAGCATCTTGAAACATCAGGCAATATCTAGCACTCTGAAATGAAACAGCAAATGTATTTCTCGCCTCTTTCAGTGTAGTTTCTTGAAATATTCTTCAGTAAGAGTATTCCCTTATAAAGAAGAACTTTAATATAAATTGATATTTTGGTCTGTCGCACCAAAGGCATCTTACAAGGTTGTTGCCTCCTGTAAAACATGTAGACAACACTTCTCCAGAATGTTCTACCTTCTGTCTAGATCGTCAAGTTTCCCAATGGCCTGAAGGTGCTGCATATTATTTTATATTTAATTGATCAGTTACACAGCATGGCTAAACTAAAGCCAATTACTTAAGAATGGCTTAATGTTTTGAAATAAAACACTTTAGCCAATTATTGTTGTGAAACATTTAATTGAATTCCCATCTTTGTAGATTTACAAGCTATCTATCAAACAGGCCAGTACCTGCTCTAAAACCAATCACTAAGCATAATGACAGCCTGCCTATTAGGCTTTGGTGACATCATCACTAACTTATCTTTCCGATACATACAGTAACTGAATTGAAAAGTGACATTTATGTCTTTGTTAACATATATTCAAGGAATGCCTGGAGCGAAAAAGAAAACTGATCAAAACCAGACCTCATCCTATAACATTTACAGATACATTTCCCTCCACATTTTTCTTTGCTCTTTGTTTCAGCACTTCGTTGAGAAATTAATAAAATACTAATACTGCAAAAGTGTGAAAATTACGAAAGAAGCTAAATAAAAAAAAAAGACTAATAATAAAACAAATAATATCCCAAGATATTCTCAGACGAGAACATGAAGTCTATCTCTAGTGGCACAATATTCAGGCTAATTGTAATTGTAATGACTTACAACTAATAGAATAATTGCATAGGAGACAAAGAAACTCCCTTGAAAATATAAGGACCTGAAATAAAATTAAATCTAAATCCCATTTTCAATTTCCAGTCCCATTGGAGTTTACTAACTTTATTAGGGTGACAGTCCCACATACTGTACCAGCTTATGAAAGAAATAGAGAAGTTTTGAGTGGGGGGGGGGGGGGGGGGGGGGGGGGGGGGGCTTGAAAAGCGATCAGGTCTTCCCAGAGGACACTGCGTTCTCTGAAACAATGACCTCATTTAAATGATGTCTGTCACAACAAAGGCTGATTCCAAAACCTGCTGAAATGTTCATGTGTGCAAGCTGAGAAGCTGGGAAGCTGAGAAGCTGGGAAGCCACCCTCTTCTGCTACATTAAAGCACATTCAAAGGAATATTCAAAGGAGGATACCACTATTTACATAAGAAATACAGTATATGGAGAAGCTTAACTTCCAGAACTCATGGTGCAAAATGAAATGGCATAATAGTTGTTTATTTACTAATGAAATATGATTGAATATTTTAAAACGATAAAACAAATCTTATTGATCCAGCCATCTTCAAACTACTTCTCTTGGTCAAGGTTGCATTTAAAAAAAGAAGTTTTTTTTTTTTTTAAATTCACTGAACTGCTGTCTCCAGACACACAAAGGCGGAGATCTACAGTCAGCCTTACAGTTAGCTTGCACTTTTTGTAGGGGTCTCATGAATAGCCTAAATATGTGAGCAATGCAAACCCTAACACTGCAGTACTGTTTCCAGGAAGATACACAAAAAATCCGGAATAGTTAGCATGCCAGTGAGTTGAGTATCTTTATCAGTTAGTTTCCTGAGGTCCGGAGGCCGCTGGGATCCATGTGTGAGCGATTCGGATCTGCTGTTTACGGGAATTGCTTTGGCATCTGCTCTCCCTTCCATAAAACCAATATTTTACCCTGCCTAGGAAAATAGGGAGTGGGGGATTTATTAATTTCCATAAAAAAGCTGAAAGTTTATTATCAAAGAATTAAGGACTTATAGGCAAGAACCGTAAATTCTGGTGAAACGCTCTGTTATTTCCCAGGAGGATTTTCTAGAAGAGGACTTGCTGTTTGACAGTGGAATTTCCGACAGTATACCACTTAAATGCTCAGCTGTGGAGCTGTCCCATTATAGCAAATAGCTTAAAGTAAATGTTTATTAAGAGAAATTTATTTCCACCTTAAAATCAAAAGTGCATTCCAGTTTTTCTGCCTCCTTTCCCAACTTGAAAAACTATGCAGAAAATTTTCAGGAAGACAAACACTATGTCAGATTTAGCCTGGAAATATTCAAAAACCTTGCGCTTTTTTATTGCAAACAATTCTCACATTGGCAGGACATTTGAACATGCTTGACCTCCAGCGGTCTTCCTAGATGTTCATGTTCAGCGTCTTTGCACGAACTCAGTACTGTGCTCTCAGCAGGTTTCTTCTGGCCACTCAGATGTGCCCCCCCCCCCACTTCAAAGGCAGCCTGTTCACCCAAGCACCTTACCACGTGGTCGTCTGTGTGGGTGTAAGTTCGGCAGCGGCCGCGTTCCACCCCCCCTGCACCCCGTGTTCTCCCAGGTGGATTCTGGGTAATGCTGATCGTCCATGGGAGTTTACAGACGGAGTGCTCCAATGGATATTATACATGCATAATTAAAGTGTATTACTGCTCATTAAAGAAGAGGTTTAAGAGGCTGGAAATGGAAACGCCGCCCAGGAAAGCACAGCTGCTCCAGGAGCCGATGCAATACAGCATTCTGCTTTTCTCTGGGCTTCACAGCAAAGGAAAAACAACGAAAAAATAAACGCCAAACAGTGCAATGTTACCTGCCGTGGTCCCACGAAGAGCACAGTCTTTGCACAAGACAGGATTTCTGTGCAGTTACACTTCATTAACTTTTTTAAAAGCAAAAGCATAAAAGGGAAAAATAGCCTCGGATATTCATTTCGCACATGAAGATGTGCTGTACTGCACCTGACGCTTCAGCGGGAAGGTGATGACCACAGCACCGCAGCTTGGCGTTTCAAGTATTTGCAGTTGCATGAACTGCTGCTGCAATTGCAAGGAAAAAATGGCCACCACAGACAACTACCCTGCCCGCCCCTCCCAAAAAAGAAATAATTCTTTTGGCAGGAAAGATGGGTATGATTAGAGGTTTAGCATTCCACAGGCAATCCCGCGGAGTGGAGCATTAGCCACCATATGCAGCACAAACAGTTTACAGATGGAAAAAATAGTTAGCAACCTCAAAAAATAAATCCATGAACCTAGGTATGCTCATATATCACTCAGTCACTCACTTCATCAATCGGTTGTCACATGGCAATATATTTTAACAAGCAAGTTCGTCACAAAGGGCATTAGGGTGATTTACAGTAATTTTCCAGAAGGAACTGTAAAAGAGAGTATATAAAACAGCATTACTATGAAAACCACAAATGATTCCCTGAGCGCTTCAAAGCTGGTTAGAACTCAGAGAAAACAGCGTGTTTAAACTTAGAAATAACAAATGGCATTATATAAAGCATATATCAAATGTGAATATGGTCAACAAGCAATGTGCAAATAGCAAATGCAATGGTACAGAGTGTATTACAAATATACCTGCGATGGAAGACAGCAGGGGAGAAAGAGTGGTCATCAGTAAGGTGAAAGTGGGTCAGTGCAGACGCTGTCACTGCAGATGCTGTCAGGGCAGGCCCTGTCACTGCAGACTGTCACTGGCAGGCACTGTCAGTGCAGGTGCTGTCACTGCAGACACTGTCACAGCAGGCACTGTCAGTGCAAATGCTGTCAGTACAGGCACTGTCACTGCAGACGCTGTCAGTGCAGGCCCTGTCACTGCAGATGCTGTCAGGGCAGGCCCTGTCACTGCAGACTGTCACTGGCAGGCACTGTCAGTGCAGACGCCATCAGTGCAGGTGCTGTCACTGCAGACGCTGTCACAGCAGGCACTGTCAGTGCAGATGCTGTCAGTACAGGCACTGTCACTGCAGACGCTGTCAGTGCAGGCACTGTCACTGCAGAAGCTGCCAGGGCAGGCGCTACCAGTGCAGTCGCTGTCAGTGAAGGCCCTGTCAGTGCAGATGTTGTCAGGGCAGGCGCTACCAGTGCAGTCGCTGTCAGTGAAGGCCCTGTCAGTGCAGATGTTGTCAGGGAAGGCACTATCAGTGCAGTCGCTGTCAGTGAAGGCCCTGTCAGTGCAGATGTTGTCAGGGAAGGCACTATCAGTGCAGCCGCTGTCAGTGCAGCCGCTGTCAGTGCAGACGCCGTCAGTGCAGACACTCTCTGGGCACTCCATCATACCGCAATGTGGATCAATACATCCTCAAAACATGAAGCACAAGGGCTGTGTTTCTGCATTTTTTATATTATTTTAACTACACTGATGTGAATAGCCCAATAAAAGCTGCGACATTTCGCCATCCCCTCCTCTATAATCCTTCACAGTGCTCTCAAAAGCGATTGCAGCATGAGTGACGGTGGACAATGCAGTGTTCCCTTTTAATACCATTGTGTCATTTGTTCTCTTTGCATGGACTGAGGTTAGCAGGGCTAATTTATGGCTTTTTAAGTGGGTTTCTAAGTGTCCCATAGATCTCAGAATATCACTGACAAAACTGTAAAAACACAGCAGTATTCCACTGCAAAAGTCATTTACATGCAATGCAATAGTTCTGTGGCATACATATACATAAAAAAATTACACTAGAAAAGTAAGCTCTTAGTATTCCATTGTAAAGACTGTCTTGTTTTATATCCTTCATCTTTTAAACTAATGTTCATGCACCAGCATAGTTAATATAGGCCTATGCATGAATCGGCTAAAATGACTACTGTTATACTATCAACATTTTTCTTTTCAACGACACACTTCTCACAGCGAAAAATTACATACCCTTAAACTTTAAATGTTAGGATAAAGCCTTTATTTATGACAGAATCTGCTGGTTTTATCAAGAGTCAATTATTCTTAAAATTACTCGCAGCTGATAGATTTAAATGAATAACATTATGGCAGTGTAAGATATAACTTAGCATTCTTCTGTTTGACTGTACAGATGGCAGCGTATGGTCTTATGTGATATACAGCTCACTCCCTGGAGATTTCTCGCTGCTGGGCCGCTCCTAGTTCTGTGGTCTGTAAATGTTTATTTGCTCAGCATAGCTTTGTCGGAGCATCTGTGCGGCCGCCTAAACCGAGGTCACTGCTGCTCAGTATTTTGGTTAAAATAAAATAAATAAAACAGTGCATTAGAACACTGTCACCCCCATGCATCTCACACATAATTTCAGTAGTGATAACGTCTCCTTCTCTGCCCTTTGCTGCACATAGTTTTAAAGTCTTGCAATTTAGCATAATGAAAGCAAAACTAAACTAAGCTTAAGACATTCATGCAGATTTATTATTTTCATGCTTTGTAGAAATTGTGTGGGTCTAATTGTGCTTTTCTGGGACTGTGTCATCGTCTTGCATCACCCGTGGATGATTGGGGTGGTCTTCAGATGCTTAATTGGAACCAGTGTTTCCATGGTATATATACGCTGAGCAGTGAGCTTAGCTTGGGGCTTAGGGTTCTTATTCCTGTCTGTTGGAGTCTCATTTTGTGTTTTTTGTTTATGGTCCCATAATCTGTTTGTTTGATTCTTGTCTTCTGGTCTCCTTCTCCCGGCCTCCTTGCCATCGGCCCCTTCTCTCAGCTCCAGCGATCCTCCACACGAGTCCTCTTCTGTCCTGTCAGATGTTCCCAGTTTCCAGCGGTGTTCTACCCAATGGACTTGTGGACAACTGGGTTGAAACCCTGGAATTGTGGGTGGGATGATCTGATTTGTAGGGGTGTAAATCACAGCTTTCCTCGCGATACAATACAGTATCGATTCCTTAAGCCAACGGTTCGATGCGATGCCATATGATACGATTCGATTCAGTTCGATACTGGGGATAGTAGTCGAAATGATGTAATTTCACACAATCCTTTACATTTCAATGGATTAAAAAAGGCAAATATAATTAGCATTTTATCATATTTTATTGGGAACTGTAAACAATAAAAAATCTAGTGTAGTCAAGTACGTCCCATAAATCAAGCAAAATAAAGTGCAATAAGGTAAAAATAAAAACTTTGGATGGATGTAGATTAACATGGTGAATAATTTCTATTTTGAATCAAGTCTTCTCCAGACAAATACAAAAGTGTAACGAAAAGTATGTCCATAACTGTCATGTCCTGCTCGTATGACCCTCTCTTGTGCTAGAGGCTTCTTACTTGGTCCAGCTCCCCCATTCATTTTTACACCCTTTCTTAAGTTTAGTAGAAATAAAAAAAGGATAACTAGGTGACTCGGTAGCTTGCAGCAGCTGGCGCAGTTGAACGCGTCATCCATCCTCTATTTTTTATGCCATACGATCTACCCACACTACCTTTGCGATCGACCAGTAGATCGCGATCGACGTATTGGGCATCCCTGGTGTAGACCATGTATACGTCGGAGTGGATCATGAAAACAATACTGGAACAGGCCAGAAAATAAAAACGGTCACATCGATGCATCGGATCGTTTGCTGATGAATCGATATATCGATACAAATCGATGTATTGTTACACCCCTATAAATTTGATAAAAATATAAAGCATGCATACTGAACGCCTTGAGTCCACATGCGTGATAGGTTGGCTCACGCAGAAGCTCCATTGCCTTTCTGACGACTCGCAGCAGCAGCTAACGTACTCTACGCAGAAAAGCCGTCAACCTCCTATGGCCACATGATCTGGGAATAGCCTGAAGAGAGGAACTCAAACAGAATAGATTTCTGATTATAGGGTGACACAAAATGAGAGCAAAAGTTAAGTTGACACACTTTTTATAGAATCCCAGATGTGCCCGTGCATTTTAACAACTCAGGCTGGATGCCAGATTGTATAATGAAAGCAATAAACCCAGATTGAGCTTCAATTTTATATGTGCTGAGACAACCTGAACAGTTATTGTCATGATTACAATTGAAAGGATGCAGTCTCTATTCTTTGTTTTGAAAACTAATTGTACACAAGAGACTGCATAATTTAAGCCAGAAGACCTACATACAGTTAATCATTTTCCCCTTCAGAATCTAAACATAGAACACAAAAATAATTATGCACAGTTATGATCATTTTAAGTGTAAACAGACTGTGAAAATATATGTGGACAAACAAATTAGATGTGTCAATGAATAAATTAGACAACATGCATCTGGCTCCTCCCCTTATTTCCAGTCGATAAGGTCAAGCGGAGTTCAGCATGCATTCGTAAAGACTCACAGTCACCCTATTAGCCCTTCAACTCATCACGGCACTTAAGGGGTGACTGAGAGTATCAACCTGCAAGGCTCACATGGAAACTTTTTTCCTGTGAATTTAAGTGACTTTAATTATTTATTTACCTTGATAATATTGGGGTTCTGGACAACAGAAACCCATTTCTTCAATGTAAGCAATATGAAATTGATGATTTTGTTTTGTAATACTGATTCTCTAAAATAAACAAAAACAATTTCATTAAGTGAAGTACCTGTATAAAGTAGTGAATTTGCTTCTCCGCTAAATGCTCTAAGAATTCCTTAACTTGACCAGTGCCTCTCTAAGTTCCCTAAATGTTCTTAATGTTGCACTTTCTGCTGATTGAATCGTAGCCTTTTAAGGTCCCTGCTTTGTTTGGCAGATGTTGTGTAGCTCCTGCTCTAATGCTGTTTACTCTTGTACCTCAGCATTCACAGGAAGCTCAGCCTAGCTGCACTTATGCCTGTTCGAGTCCTTAACAGTGTCTATGTTTGTATTGTGTTATTTTCCTCACTCATACATCGCTTTTGACAAAAAACAACTCCTAAATAAAAGTAAACGTAAATGTAAATTGAACATGACTAAGCTTATTACACTCCTTGAGAGATAGCAATGACCTGACTTTTCCATAGAGGGTATCTCATGTATCACTTCAGCCAGATATTTGAAAATCAAATTATAAGCAAACTGAGACATTCTCATTAGTGTGGGAAAAATTTTAAAAACAAATATCTGAATTTATTTCCTCCATTTCAGCCTAATAAATCAAAATGTTGTAAAGCAAGTGATGAATGAGTCAAAGATGTTAGCCATCTCAAACAGATGACCTCTACGGAGATGACATTTTCGTGGTTATTCTAATCCATATAATTGCAGCATAATTAATGAATGGATTAGATTAAGAACCTGAGAATGAGAGTGTGTCCATTTCCATAATCTGAGAAAGACAATAAATAATGTATTAAAACGAAATGTTCAACACATGCAGTTTAACACAAGAGGGCAAGATCTTCATTGAAATGACATCCCAGCTGCTACATTATTGACAAATCAACATTCTCTCATTACAAATGCCTTAATTTTCATTAATTTAAGGAAGCTGTGACATTTGCCCAAAGAGATCAGCTGTCATTCTCTTGTTAATGTTACTTTATCAATGTTGCAGTAAATGAAGAGTGAGGCTCCATCTTCTGTAATGTATGAATCTTGAGGAGATATCAAATCGGATTAATTAAATGAAGAACCGTTAGTAGATTCCTAAACGGGTAAGTAACTGGTCTGAGAAGGTGCTCTGTCTTACAGAGGTGGCAAATGAGGCCTCACATTGCTCTGCACAAGGAAGGGATCTAACCTTGTCCTCTTGGATGCCACCCAGGAATGCTCAACACCAGCAACTAGGCCTCTCGATTTAGCAAATCGTTTCATGTGATTTGTCACTTTCTATCCAGAGAAATAATTCCAGGGTAATTTTTCACACCCCCCAGCCTGCATTAATATATTATAGGTCACCATACACAGTTGACCCTCTCTTCTAGTGACATAAAGGTTATTTTTCTAGGTGCAAAGATAGACGACGGCAATGCATCAGCCATGACTGCAGCGTGGAAAGGTGTCAGAATAAACACGATATATTACATGGTAGCAGCTTATTCCCCATCACAAGCAAATGAATCCCACTCATGGTGACGACATACAGCACGGGCAATCACGGGCAATCACGGGCAATCTGTGCCCAACGCAAGATATTATTCAAAAATATTGCCAGATGGTCGCTGCAGGAAATAGACAATCAAATTAAATACTGGATGTAATACACCTTATACACACACACACACAATAGAATATGAATGAAAATAAGAACATTTTAATTTCAACAGTAATATGAAGGGTAGCTTCTCTAAGTCCATAGAGATTAAAAGAATACTACCGGGAAACATTAATAATTGTAATAGTCAAGAAATCCACTGAGGTATTCTTTTTATAGAGAGAAGTTGCTTCTATTTTAATTGATTTCTTCCCAAGCAATACAGAGTTCAGGCTGAAATATGAGGGAATACATAGACGGCAACAGTGCGCAATAACGCCTGTGTCAAACAATGATGGAAAGAGGATTACTCAAGAAAAATTAGTTGTCAAAATGAAAATGTCACAATATAATCAAAACCTTTATACAGGAATTACATAAAGATGCTACAGTTTCAAGTATAACATTTACAGGTGGTGCAAGTACACCTTCAGTTATAAATTTAAGAAACATTGCATAGTTTGTCTATAGTGTATTGGTCCATAAAATAAACATATTAAAATAAAACTGCAATGATATAAGAGGAACACAATTGCAAAAAAGTGACATTTATTGCACACATTCTTTTTAGAGTTAGCATTTTCAAAATAATTAATATCAGCGCATACAAGCAATGCATATAGATTACCAATAGAGCTGCATCTTGAAACCAAATAGAGGTTTCTATTTCATGACAATATTTTTTAATGTGAAAAAGTTTTGTTGTGTGTTATTAATAAATTGCAGAATAGTTATCAAGCAGTGTGCGTAAATATTCCTGCCAGCTGAAATACGACTTTCATAAAGCCGCAGCTGCATCTTCTGGCATTTTTGCGGTCAGAAGCCTTCCATGCTAAACGGCACGACTGAAGACTCTCTCTCTCACTCACTGCTGTTATTGCTGAATCACCCAGGAAACCCACTGCACTCCCTCCCAATCAACTTTCACCCAGTGCATTTTTTCCACCCATATTTAGCCTAGAGGCCGAGTGCAAAGCTACAGTGTTACAGAACGCCTTCTGTGGATATAGAGATTTTCTCAACCCTGCTAGGCAAGCAGAGGGTAAATTCTTTCCAGAACAACAAAATGATTGACAAGGATTACAGCCTACTGACCTTTTCCATACATGCTCCCCATACATAATTTCAACCTACAAAAAAATAACAAACAAGTATTAAAATAAGAAAAGTACTAAAAAATAATTGCATGTATGCAATAACTTAAAGTCATTACAGGTAACGTTGAAGCACTTAGCATTTATATCTTTTGTACTGCTTTGCTCTCCTGATTCTTCTGTTTTGTGTTTGCAGTCATCGCTTATGCGTAGCTAAACTCTATGTGTGAATTTAAATGACTTTTCTTTTGGCTTCTTCACTAACATTTGTTTTCTGTATTGTTGATATCGCATAAGACTACACCCTGGTGCTTAGACTCTTCACTTATAAATAAATGTATGAATTACTCAGCATTCCAATGACATTTTCTACATTTCACAACATGCCATTGTATTCATGTCTCACAGAAGATTTTTAATGATCTTATATTTAAGTATCATTTTGGAGTTTTCAATATGAGGCCTTACACAAAACACATAAACAAAACATTTGATATTAAAGGTTATATTATTTTTTTCCCCATCAAATCAATATTTTTACACTCTTGCCCAAAGACCTGTAACAACTTGCAGTGTTTACAGTAATATGACATGACTAATAATTAATAAAGCAATCAATATAAATAAATAAATAAACTCGAAAAAAGAAAAATAAAAGAAAAAGAAATTAGGTTTAAAAATAAGCGGTAACATAAATATATGCATTCTCCTTTCCTGGAATGACAGATGAGCGGAGTCCTCTCTGAAGTACACGCATATTAATTTACCCTCTTCTACCTGATTAGGAAAGTTACACGCAGAGCGACAGGGCCAAGCCGCGTAGGGGTGCCTCTGTAGGTGATGCACTGAATTGCGGAATTTCATTGCACGGCCACGACGTCGTAACCACTGTCCCATGAGTACAGGGTCACAGGGGCAGTGAAAAGTGCTTTGCAACCTACAGTAATTAAGTATGCGATCAGCTTGGAGCTTGGAAGGGACACTCGACAGACGGCCAGAGAGGCCGCTTTTCAGTGAGATGCGACGGTGCGGGGGCTGTCGCCTTCCCCAAGTCTGATGCAGAACTGGAAGCAGCAGAATAGGATGAAATTCCAGGGAAAACCAAATACACACAATTAAGAAATGGAATTATTCCTGCCCTGAGAGACAATTATTTCTCTTGAATGCATAAAATACCAAATTCTTTTTACTCCACTGAAAATAAATACAGTGGCAGATGCAACATATAAATTACATTTTACTCTTGTTTTAGGGAAAAAAACAGTGATATTATCTTAACTTTTTAGCACATTGTATTACATGTATTAAAAATGTGAAGGTTATAATTATACCTGTTTAATAATTGCAGCACTGTGTTACCGTGATTATTTATATCTGTCCTCTGTACTTTGCAGTATATTGTAAAATATTTAAAATACGTACATTTAACATTCTGCAGATTTATATGTAGAGGAAAGATCAGGCTGATTATGGCTAGATGAGAAGAACAGAGACCCACAGCCTCACCATGGCTACATTTAAACACTCAGAATGCGTTTTGTCCTGTAAATGATCACAAATGGCCTTTTACTAACCCATCCCCTCAAATCAGTCATCAAAGGGGAGCTTTAAAAAATGTTGTATATCACCTATATCCCCATAAAATGTCATCCATCTGTATCACTTTGCACTGGTGAACCAAAAGCCTGCTGGCTTTAGCCACACAGATGGGCGATGATGAATAGCAGAGTGAGGGTCAGCAGACCAACTCTAGTCTCGTGTCCACTGGCCGATTCCAAATCTGCTCCGACGGTCTTCATCTGCGTGCTGCTCCTTCTGCGATCGTTCACCTTGTCTGGAGTCTGTGCTGGAGCGGAGAACAAGCAGAAATAAATCTCATGTTTGCTTTCAGAACCAAGGGGAATAGACTCTCTGCTATCTGATGGAGCACATGAACCATCACACGGTGATGTCAAGCTCCCCTCGCCAAACCACACAATGTGATCTCTGGGAGAATTCCCCCGCTTGGTGCCAGATATGCTCAGAATTTCTTTCTAAGGATGTTTTATGCAAGTTTTGTTTGTGTTGCATTTGCTTAGATTTAATATTTACCAGATGTTCCTTGCAGATCACATCCAACATTGTTTTGGCTTTTTGATACCATCAAAAATGAGTTTATACTGGACCTTTGTAAAACAACAAACTGCCAGTGGCTTAAAAATACAAAACAATTTACAAAGGAACAGCTCCAAACCACACACAATGACAAACTCTAATCAAAAATAAATTAAGTGCAATGAAAAAATATATTTGGGATAACAGCCCAACAACCATCTGTGGATAATTTTTAAAATTCCTATACAGGTACAATAGATGCATACAAATATATTACAGTTGATCTCATAAATATATACCCATGTTAATTAAATTTATATCTCAGCAATGAGGAAAATATTCATTGTACACATGCACTGGAACAATTCCTTCAGAATTTCATTTCTCTGGGGTGTCATGTGATACTGCTTTCTGAGAAATGCTTGAGAGAAATGTTATTTCTACTGTAATACCAAGGCTTCTGCCAACCTTAGTCACAGAGTTCTTGTTCCAGGAGACATTAATGATTATTTTTGCAATCTTTCCCTTCGTTACACTGTCACTAAAGTCAGAAGACTTTATGCAGTAATTTTTTCCCCTATGAACTTGAGCAATGAGCCATGGAGGGATTTAGTAATATATCTATATATGTTGCAATATACATTGCAAAATAATTTAATAAATGGGAAAAAAAACTTAAAGTATACAGCATAAAATATTTTGCTGCTGTTTACCATTGAGGTCATCTATAAATGGAAACTACATCAGTTTGTATTTATTAAAAAAAAAAAGTAAACATGGTTTTAATATTAATTCAAGCCAGATTCAGCTATTGGTTCTGTATCTGCACAGCTAGACAGAGGTTCCATCATCAGTGCAAAATGCTAAAAATGGCAAAAAGAAATGCATTTGCAATTCATCATACAAAAATCCACAAAGGTGTGACAATGTGCGCGGACTTCATGTGTTCAGATTCTATTCTATTCTATTGATTCTATTCAGAATCACAGATTTTCTTTTTCAAAGTGCACTCGCTTTAATATTTTCTATAGCAATAATAACAATTAGGTCCTTGGAGAAATGTGTCAGAGCGCATTTGAAAGAAGCTTAAAAACACATTAGGCCTCGCTGACAATTTTCCCTCATTTCCTGACTTCTCCCCTTGTTTCAGTGCAGAGCAGACGGCTAACATGGGGCGATTGGCGTATATAAATCTGCGAGCCCACAGTGATTGCTTCTCCACGGGATCCAAGTGCATTACAAGCAGACAGCATGGCACCGCTGTCCACTCAATCAGCCCCTGTTTGTCCACATACCCCCAAAAAGGGTGCATTCAGGAGGCATGGGTCACAGAGGTTTCCCATTCATTTCAGCCTTGGAAAAAAAAAAAAGTGTTTATATACTGTATATGTAAGAAGCAATAATGTACTGCGGATGTGTGTGCACACGCATGCACGTGCGCACACACACACACACACCATCACTGCTGTTTGTGAGGATTAACCTATTAAATGCAGCCTCTAAATCCGATTCCCTGACGAATCCCGGTTCCCTGATTCCCTACGTATCCCTTAGCATAATCAAAAGGATAATTGCATGTTGAAAAGATTTTTGACCAAAGCATACATAATTAGTGAGTCAATTTTTATGATAACGTGCATAACTGGTAATTTGTGCTACAGTTGTTTTGTCTGGAATTTACATAATATCCCAAAGGAAAAGAAAAACTATAGTGAGATCTCGGTTTATTTCTCCTAGATAAAAAGAATGCTACAACATCAGTTAGACTTATTACTTTGAGTATCAGCTGAAACAACCTAATAAGACTCATCTGGAAATTAAAATCTGATCCTAACCTTTTCCTGCTAACCTCCATAAATCAGATATATGTTACTTATGTGCTCCGATATATTTATTGTAAACATTTTAACTTTTACAGTTTCAATGGGCCACTGTAGGAGAAATTATCCATGTTATAACCTCAGTTTATGCGATCTCTAATAAAAGGTCCATTCTTTACACACAAAAAAAATATCTGTTAGGTAAAAACATAATATGAATGAATTCCCCGTTACTTCATATATTATTATTGCTTTCAGTCTTCCTTAGTGCAAGACAAAAAAGGCAGTAATATTAGAACATCATAATAATATCCAGATCCAGATTACTACTGCGCAGGGGCACAATGCACAAAATTCAGATTTATTCTGCAAAGATTACTGTTAAATTGAACACAATTCACAACAGAGCTACGAGAACAATGAGAGATGTCAGGGCACTCAAGGACGCAAGGACTGAACACTTTTCCACTGGAAACTTCTGAACTTCATGAAGCTCACATAAAAATGCTGCGAAACAATCTCTTATATAATGAGGATCACTAAATCCAGCAACAAAAACGAATACGTACAAAAAAATGGGAAATAATAAAATGCGAATGTTTAGTCATTATTGTCCATTAATGCTACATTATTCATACACCTAATACTTAATATATGCAATTAAATCTTATTTGTTCCTGAAGGAAGGTGGGGACAAGAGGTGTTCCATTACAATGTACAGAACCATGAGGATGTCTCCAGCTATCAATGAAATGGAATAAAAAATACTGTAACATATTTAATACTATAAGGTAAAGTGATTGAAGCAGATCTAAAATATAGAGCTCTTTGACCAGAAAGACCTTTCATTTTGGTCATGAATCATGAATGAAACAATTGTTTTATACATGCCCTTAAAAATGTTCAGGGTTTCCTATCACACTTCCGTTACTGATCTGCAGCTTCATAATTTTCATGAGCTACAATGTGCCCCAAGACAAAGTTGATTTTATATATATATATATAATGTATCCTTTCATAATACATATTCTTTTTCTGCTCCTATTGTATGCCATTCCTGTTTTGGCACCACAACTCTTTACACTATTTATTTAAAAGATCCAGAATGTTTCATAGTCAAACTGAAACTCAATAGCTAAACTGTGAGCCAACGTGTCTGTTTATTTTGAATTGTTTTGATTTTTTAAGCACCTGCCTCTGTGTCCCTTCATTTGCCAACTCTACACAAATCTCTACTTGACAGTGAGTTTCCTTGATGGACCCTTATCGACAGCCTTTGAAATAAATAAACAAACAAACAAACAAACAAATAAATAAATCCGAATGCAACGCTGTATATCCTATCTGATCTGAGCAGCATCCCCAAAGAAATTAATGTTTGTAACGCGAACCCTGTTTCCACGATATCAGTGTTCTGACATGTCATACATTCAATTCCAAGCAGAGCACTGAAGAAAAGTTTCACTGATTTTTGATAGCGTGCTGAACTAGATAATTTATCCTGACTACCTGAATTTCAAAGTCTAATTTTTGTGTCCTCCAGCACAAACAGGTGTATCATATTTACAGAAAAGATATTTTTGACGTTACCTCTGAAGTTTATCAAAAAAGCTAAATGAAGTTGGCTTTATTATTGTACCGCCCATATACAGGTATACAGTGGTACAAGTTAACGTCCCCCCAAGACCGTAGTGCAACATACAAACAGGAAGCAATAAAAAGAATGGGGGTTCACAAGCGGGACAGTACAAGAGAAGGGGGTTTGAATTTAAGTCTGTGTGTGAACTCAGCCTGAGTGTGACATCATCAGTCTGTGTGTGAACTCAGCCTGAGTGTGACATCATCAGTCTGTGTGTGAACTCAGCCNAGCCTGAGTGTGACATCATCAGTCTGTGTGTGAACTCAGCCTGAGTGTGACATCATCAGTCTGTGTGTGAACTCAGCCTGAGTGTGACATCATCAATAATAAATATCATGGCAGTAGACAACAGTAAATACACAGTATTTGGGCATCATTAATTAAAATGTGATTTTTGTTTTGCTTAACAAAAGATATACAGTATGTAAAACTAAAATTAAGTGCTAAGACTTATTCCGCTTCATATAGAAAGAAAGTCATCATGCAAATTCTGGATAATTTTTACACCATGACACATTTCACAGTTCTGCCACTTCTGGTTCATTTTATCTATCCTCTCTGTACACCTCACAATCAATATATCCAGCTTTCACCTGTCATAATGTTTCAAATCAAATCACTTGTGTGTTTCATGCCAACTCTGCACCTGAATGGAATTTGCAACGACATTCATTTTCTAAAGTAGGTCAAGTGAATGGATATATAGATAGATAGATAGACAGATAGACATGATAGATAGATAGATAGATAGATAGATAGATAGATAGATAGATAAGATAGATAAGATAGATAAGATAGATAGATAGATAGATAGATAGATAGATAGATAGATAGATAGATAGATAGANATAGATAGATAGATAGATAGATAGATAGATAGATAGATAGATAGATAGATAGATAGATAGATAGATAGCCCTTATTGTTCACCTGGTTATGACCATGTTAAGCAGTTAGATGATGGACAGATAGGTTAGTAAGGTATTTTTTTTTACAAACTACTACAATAAGTAATTGTGATTGTAGGTGTTGTGTGTATGTGTTTAGTGTTTGAAGTAAGTATTAAATGTTTATGCTTTTTATGTTAAAACCTAAGTTACAATAAATTTTTCCAATAGCTGTAAATGTGTCCTCAAAAAGCCAAAAACCATGATTCATTTTAAGTAAGAATCTGATTGACCAAATACAAATGAATCAATTGCAAGCTTAAGTGGATCATTGACCCATTAAATTTGCAGGTCGAAAGTCTAGTCTAGCAGTTGAAGCCATCAATGTAAAATGGCTGTATTGCAT